TACCATTAGAAACAAAGACAGACAAAGGCTGGAATTCATTTTACACAGAGGATTGTTAGGACATGAAACACCCAACCAAAACTAGATTTTAAAAGGGAATTGGGGTGAATATTTTAATAAGAAAAAATGGGAAAGGGTGAGGGGAAAGGGGATAACTGAATGGGACTGACTCTTTCAGAGAACCGGCAAAGACACAATGGGCCGAATGGCCTCATTCTGTGCTGTAAATTTCTGTGATTGTGTTAGAAAGCATGACCGACTTTATAAAGAATCTGATGAATATCCTGACGAATCATTTGTCAACATATTCAAATGGTTTAGAAACTCAATTAGATATTTCTTACGAAGAATTCCGATCAATCAGTTGCAGCTGCTGGTGATAGTGGTTTTCTTCAAGAATAAAGTTTTATTAACAGAACGTGGGGTAGTCTTAGCTGTTGTCTATAGCCTCAACTCTACAAAAGTGCCCCGTATATAAAAAATAGTCACCACAGGAAAAGATGGCTGGTTCCAAAAACGAGCAAAAGTACAATTCCGTATACTTATTGTGCAAGTTTAAAGGTTGCTAACATTTTTTTTAACAAAAACGTACAAAGTAAAAAGACACATTTTTACTTAAAGTGCACCTTTAAGAGAAAATGCTAGAAAATAAATCTCAACTCGCTGTATCTCACCACTCACTGAAGCTGCTTTTATGCTTGGAAAGCACTGAGCTTGGGTTGTTTGGGTCAGCCTTAACCCATTCTGTGCTGAAATATAAAGCAACATCTTGTGTAAAGTCTGAACAGCCCGATGACCTTCGTTACAATATTGTGCTGTGTTTACGTGAGGAAATTGTGCATTTTACTATGATTTCTGTTCAATTCTGCACATTTAGAAACCAATGGGGAGAAAAATATAGTTGGGGCTGCAATTGGCCTTAGTGCTCTAAGCTTGTGTGTGGGGAAAAGAAGCAAGGCAGGTTTCTGCTCCTGATCGCTCTCCTTACTGGAACGTCTGCTTGGCTATGATTCCTAAGTAGACAAATAATCTGACAAAACTCTCTGGACTCACAATGTGGTTTCCCCACCAAGAGAAGCTCAGAAGCAATCTCATATCTGGGCTGCTCTTGTACAAGTTAGTAATCAGTTTATGAGAGGGATTAGGAGAGAAATAACAGAAGGAGAGCTAAAATACCTTAACAGAGGGTTTCTGTAGCCTCCGGATGGGTTAGAGAGCAGAGCTGTCCACATTGAGCCGTCCACATCATGAAGGTCTTCGGTTCAATTGCTGTTCTTTGCAGTGTTGACTGATCTGAGTGAGGCTTTAAACGATAAAGGTTTACTCTATTTATGTAGCATTTCAGAGCGTCTTGAGTTTGACAAGATTCTTAAAATCTGGCCTTAGTTTTGAAGCTATTTGCGCCCAATTCACCAAATTCTAGATGCTCTGAAATATTAAGAAAACAGGAGTAAATCTAGAGTAAATCTAGTAAATTCAAGGGAATCCGCTCCGCGGTCACTTCCCCTCCAACTTCCACCCACCACCCACCCCTTCCCTCCCACACTCCGACTCCTACCCATCCTCCCCTACACACCTTCGTACCCGTTTCCCCACCCTCTGTCACTGAACTCATCCTATCCCTAAAACCAACCACCTGCTCCCTTGACCCCATCCCCACTCCACTCCTTATCTCCCAGCTCCATTTTCTTGCCCCACACATCACTGACATCATAAACCTGTCCCTCTCCTCTGGCTCTGTCCCCATTCCATTAAAAACTGCCATCATCACGCCCACCCTGAAAAAACCCTCCCTTGATGCGTCGCAGCTATCAAGCTACCGGCCCATCTCCAACCTCCCCTTTCTCTCCAAGGTCTTGGAAAGAGTTGTCGCCTCCCAACTGCGCTCTTTCCTCTCCACCCATTCTCTTTTTGAACCCCTTCAGTCAGGTTTCCGTGCTGCTCATAGCACAGAAACTGCCCTGGTCAAGGTCACCAATGATATCCTGACCATCTGTGACCAGGGCTCCCTCTGTCTCCTCGTCCTCCTCGACCTATCGGCAGCATTCGATACGGTCGACCACGCTATCCTACTCCACCGCTTGTCCTCCCACCTCAACCTTCAAGGCACTGTCCTTGAATGGTTTAGCTCTTACCTTTCCCACCGTCTTCACTTCGTCTCAACGAATGGCTTCTCCTCCACCCCCCGTACTGTCTCATGTGGTGTCCCTCAGGGCTCTGTCCTCGGTCCCCTCCTCTTCACCCTCTATATGCTCCCCCTTGGTGACATCATCCGCAAACATGGGGTTAACTTCCACATGTATGCGGATGACACCCAACTCTACCTTTCCTCCTCTACTCTCAACTCCACGACCACCGATGTCCTGACAGCCTGCCTGTCCGACATCGAGTCCTGGACGAGAGACAACTTTCTTCAGCTCAACGTGCGAAAAACCGAGGCCCTCCTGATTGGCTCACGTCAGCGCCTCCGCACCTCAGGCGCTGACACCATCAGCATCCAAGGCTGCACTCTCCACCTCTCAAAGCCAGTCAGGAACCTCGGCGTTTTGTTCGACCCTGAGCTGTCCTTTCTCCCTCACATCCGCACCACAACTGGCACCGCCTTCCATCACCTCCGGAATATCGCCAGATTACGGCACTACCTCACCCCTCACGCTGCTGAAACCCTGGTTCACGCCTTTGTCACCTCAAGGCTGGACTATGGGAACTCTCTCCTCGCCGGCCTTCCCGCCACCTCCCTCCACAAGCTGCAGGTCATTCAGAACTCTGCAGCTCGTGTACTGTCCCGCACCAGGCTTCGCGACCACATCACTCCCACCCTCGCTCGCCTCCACTGGCTCCCCATCCCCCAGAGGATTGATTTCAAGATCCTCATCCTCACCTACAAGGCCATTCACGGCCTTGCTCCCTCCTACCTCTCCAACCTACTATCCCCCTACCTACCTGCCCGTACCCTCCGTTCCTCTGGCTCCGGTCTGCTCCACGTCCCCCGCCCCAACCGCCCTACTATCGGTGGTCGGGCCTTCAGCCTCTCAGCCCCAGGCTCTGGAACTCCATCCCCCAGTGCCTTCGCCTTGCTTCCTCCCTTTCCTCCTTCAAGGCCGGTCTCAAAACCTTTCTCTTTGACCGTGCCTTCAGCTCCCCTCTCGACTCTCTTCCTCCTCCTCGCTCCCTCCCTTCCCTCCCCTCACCCTGACCATTTCCCCCTCCTCTCTCCCTCCCTTCCCTCCCCTCACCCTGACCATTTCCCCCCTGCTCGGGTCATGACCCAACTGTGCAGCGCCTTGGGACGTCCTCCTGACGTGAAAGGCGCTCTATAAATGGAATCTTGTTGTTGTTGTTGTTGTAGACACAGATGTCATTTCAACTCCACAGAGAGCTGGCACAGGCACGAGGGACAGAATGGCCTCCTTTTCCGTGCTGAAACATTTCGATTCTGATTCGAGGAAAGTACTCAGTGCCGCAATGAATATTTGCTCTCTAACCCATCCGGAGGCAATAGGAGCCCTTTATTAAGATATTTATCTCCCCTCAAGACAAATTGACTCTAAACAGTTGAATTTACTGGCCGCCAATGAGTCCAGGCTCTCAAGTAACCTAGGCCCCCAGATCACCTCAGTCACCGTGAAAACAAGCCAGCACAAGTTGCCAGATCGAGGAGAATGGGAATGTATGTTGTGGGGAAGAAAAAAAAAGGCCAAATGCAATGACTTAGAACGGTTTTATACAGGGTGGAGTTACTGGTTATAACACTGACCTGGGAAATGTACAAACACGGAAAGAAGAAAGATTGCAATTCACCTCTTGTACCACTGTAATCCATTGGTTAAATCAACTAATAGATTAGGTCCAACCAAGTAAATATGTCAGGTTAACCTTGAAAGTAACTACAAACGCAAATAAAACATTCAGAATCTATGTAAGCCGATTTAACAAAAAAAGATCTTTTTAAAAAAGATTTAACCAGGTAATTTTGCATGATCCAGTCTAGTCTGCGGATTCAAGGCAAAAATATACCTTGGCTATAATTGTTCCGAGATTGTATGTCATACTGATAAGATTAAACAAACATTTCTGTCCGCAGCTGTGTTGTAATGAATGATGCACCCTCACACAAGCTTATGAAATAGGCTCTAAAAAGTTCCTGGCAGATGTATGTTGCTGTATAATTATAAAGGTATTCTGTTATGCTGGGAGATCTACTGACTGATCCCTCTTAAGGGCACACAATGTGAAGCTGATTAGCTAAATGTCCCTTTGGATATTGTGTTTTCCTTTATTATTGTCCATTGTCTAAGGGTTCAATGGTGGCAACTGCGTGTGATGGCCCATTGGCAACCTTCCACTCCCCATTTACAAATTGCAGCAGATTACGTCAAAGAAAGATGCAGAAAAACTGGACACAGATTGAGCCAATCTGTTCAGTTTTGAAATATATATATGTGCCAATGAATAATAACTTGCTTTTGATATTCACGTGGTTCAGACGTCTCAAGGAGATATACAGGAATTAGTGTAAAGTGGTTTGATTTTTATTTTGTGGGTGAAATGAGTTGCAAGTGAATGGATATTGGGTGCCTGGTTTTATTTTGCTGGCAGTATCCTAGATCAGAAGAGGAACCTTTGTGGAGCAGAGGAACATGGAAGTATCTGTGTGGGAAATTAAATCAATTTTAATTACATAAATAGATGTATTTATGTCACCATAAACAGGGAAAGGGGCAACTTCAACCAATTGCAATGTCAAAGAATGTGAAACAGCACTTCTCTTGTGAAATCTGGTTGAACCTGCAGTCTGAGGATACTGTTCCTTCTGGACTCCTTCCTTTGGGGAAGTGCTCAAACTTCCCTCAACACCTCCTAACAGCTGCTTGGCTGTGGCTGGAACCCCAAGGGGCTGGATAGAGAAGGAAATAGACTTGTGTCTCACATCTCTGGGACATAGGGTACTGGCAAATGTCTCCAGGGAAAAATGAATGAAAATATATGTATATATTTTTAAAAGCTTTTATTTAATAAACAAAGAAATTTTTATACTTTAGGAAAAATCTTACACAAACAATAGATGAAATCTACGGGGAAAATCTCGGCAGCACTGTCCACTGTGCCCACCGTCTGCCTCTGCAGCACTAACGCTCATTTCATGTACTTCTCCCCATGCTCGGCGAGGATCTTCGCAGATGACTTGGCATCGTAGAAGAGTTCATTGATCTCCTCCATGTGTTCCTTCTCAATGCTGTCCTTCCCATTGATGCGTGCCAGTAGGTTGGCAGGTGTCAGTAGTTGCACAGCGTACCTGCAGCATAACCAAACTGATGTTTATTGCTCAGGTTTCCGCTAAAGGTGACATCTGCCTGTGAGGATGTGTACCTCATGGATTGTGTGTCTGCGTATGCTCTTTCTCCGTCCCTCTCCCCATCCTCTGCCTGAAGCCTGGTCTCACTTTCCCAGATGCGATGGAAACCCATGTATTTGCATTGAGATAGTATTACTTTCAAGTACTGATTATTTCATTTTTCTAATGAAAACAAGTTTAGTTCAAATGAATACTAAAGTGAGGGTCTACTGTTCAGGGACCCCACATACGTACACTGAGTGCCTGTATCAAAAGGAAAAGAAACCGAATCTGAGGGGAGAGAAGGGAGAAAACCATTTGAAAAGTAGAGTGGGAAAGGGAAACAATAGAATATAAAATAATAGAATTTAAAAATATAAACCAAGGATCTTCTTTCTCAGGTACTGAGTATTAAGTTTTTAACTCTGCAATCAATAGTCTGAGGTTGTGCTGTGTTCTTGGTGTATGGAATGACATTCCATTACACAGATACACACAAATGAAGATTACACAGCTACTTCCTACACAGGTACGTAAGTACATAAGCTCGAATTTCATCTGCAAAGCAAACATCAGCAACCCCTGGAGTGGCTCTTCATTTTCAGCTCCCCTTCGCTTCCTAATCTATATCCACAACGCACCGAAGACACTAAAGTCAGCCAGTTCTGATTAGGGAATGGCCGTGAGATATCAAAGCACACTGAAGAACCTGATTATTGAAACAAAACACAAGAATTCCTTATTAAATGTGTTGTGGAGAAATTTCATTACATCAGCACGGCCGATCAGTAAACTGAAGAATAGAATAGAAAGCTTTGGTGCCAAAAAGCAAAGATAAGTAACTGTAATACACAGTATTCGCTCTGTAAGTTTGCACAACAAACTACCACCAGCCTGCAAGTGTGTGTAAAGATCCACAACACAACTAACTTCTTGAGTTGGCAAATCCCTGAGAGCAATGGCAATGAGCAAAGGGCAGATGGAATCATATTCCCACCCGTCTTCCCTCCCCCAACTTGTGTAGTGAGAGATTGGGACAGAATGCAGCAGGTTAAACTGAGAACACTTTTTTTGATACCAACTTTCAAAGATTACACTTCAAACAAAAAAAAACAAGCAACAACTCCCCTGCAGGTATCAGCACGGAAAAAGCAGTAATTAGGAACACAGTTGGTAGAAAAAAAGGACAGCGCAGGGTTCAATTTGTTCAAGCTGTAAACTTCTCAGCTTTCTCAGTTAAATCTCTCGCGATTGGCATTTCATGGCACTTCTTTTGCAAACCATCCCCGTAATAAACCTTTAAAACGAATGCAAACGTTCATATTTGCGCCAGCTATCGCCCTATAAGGTTTCATTAGCTGCCTTTGTTTATTAAAAGGTTCCTACAAAAACCTTTGTGCCAAATCCCTTGAGTCTACCTACAGTACTATTCATCTTCCCCTGACAAGCCGGACCAATAGCTATTACTGAAACGGTTATTCTACAGCGCTGGATAAAATTAAATACTGCGACTGAAGGGTTTTTGGCTGCAGGTGAAGCGAATGATTTAATACCCCTGTCTCAGGCTCCTGAAAGCGTCAGTGTAGGCGAGCAGCAAATCATTCCTACTGCTCGGGTCAAAAGAAAACGAATGACATTATCAAGGTCTGGACAAGAGCCATTATTCCTCAACAAAGCACCGCGGATACTCACCGCAGAGTTGTCTTCGTGCCGATTTCACCCAGGTGATGCAAGGCCTCGTCACTGATGCTGATTCCTTCTGTCTGCGCTCGGATCTTGATTATCTGTGAGCAGAGAGAAAAAGTGAACACACGATCCTTGAGCTGTCAGTGCGATTGATTCTTCTGTCAGCCTGAATTAATGCCCCGCTCACCACAAGATGATTATTCAACCTACAGGCAACTCTCTTCTTGTTCTGAAGACATTGGGCATCCACAAGGTTTAAATAAAAGTTTATTTAATTTAATTTTATTTAAAAGGTGTATAGAATACGATTTGCTCCCATCGCTTTAACTGACTTTCCCTTTCTAATTTAATTCAAAGCAATATTGATATTTGAAAGGTAGTGGCAGATTATTCAGATTGCACATAATAATAATCCTTGCATTTGATATAGTGTAGAGGGAGGGCTTTCCGTTCAAAATACATTCCCAAAGAAAAGCTTATTTAAAAAAAGAGTGAAGTTACAACAAAAACAAATTACATTCATACAGCCTTTCATGTCGTGAGGATGTCCCAATGAATTTTCACTTTTCTGCAGTACATGAGACCCTACAGTCCTAGGCTGCTCTGGGTATCTTACTGTTGGTGAGTTGATGCAGTGCATAAATAGGTGCTTTGCACAAGCCTGTGAGTCAATCCTACAGAACCCACCACTCTTGCACTTTGTGGTACAGTGTGCTATCACAATTATTCTAAGGCAATAATAACATTCAAATACAGGATAGAAACCGGTGACAGATATCAATACTTATAATAAGACTTTCTCCCCCCCCACACCCATTTTCATTTGACTTTTTAAAATAAATCATTTAAATGGGAAGAATTACCACTCTAGATGGTGAACTGAAAATTATAGTTTAGTGAGTTAATGCATTAAATTTATGATTCAGTCCCCTACAGAGAGAGCACAGCATTGTTGAGACGAGATGCTACACTGAGCCTCTGACTGTTGATTCAGGGCAATGTTAAAAGATCCCATTTCACTATTTCAGACAATAGCAGGGAGAACCCCTGTCTAATAGCACAATATTCCTCCCTCATCCAAATGACTTTCATTAGTATTTATGAGAGGATACATACCACTAGTCACAAATTTTTCACTTAACAACAGTAACCACAATTTAAAGTAACCCATTGCGCAAAGGGCGTTGAGATATTTTGACGCAATAAGGTGCTCCGGCAAATCTCTTTCCCCATCACGATAAGTTACAATTTCAGTGGTGGGGTCGAAGAGCCTGGGTTGCAGTCCTGGATTTCTAGGCTGTGCTAGAAAACTACTATATGCCCCAACTACAGCAGTCAAGCAAAATATTCTGATGCAGACATAAAGATTTCAGAAACAAGTGGTCTGTTGCCTTCTCAAGCCATAATAGTCTGGATTGGATTCTTTGTCTTACAATGCAAAAATACATACAACACTGATTTAATGATTTGTCTGCATACATTTACTAGTTCGTTACAGGCAGACACGATTTACATCAATTCCCTGCTATAGCACACACAGTACCATGACCTCTGATATAATGGTCGATGCTCATGGCTTGCTCGCTAATAGATAAATGAGTTTTCTGTATGGCTCCCTGAGACAGTCTTACATAGAGGGCTCTGTTGTATTTCAGTTCCCTGAATACAAATCTTCCTCTACACGGCTCTGATGTTCCAGCTGGAGTTCCTTCAGGACATTGCCCCCTGCTGTCCCGGGTATGTCATGATTTCATCGGTCACTTGGGAGAAATTCGTTTGAATTACGGTTGCCATATTTTTATAGACTGGCATATTTACACCGTAAGATTTCATATCCAAATACAGCAGCTCTGTGAGAAAGTGACGCTTAATGTATATTAAACAAACCGATCACAAAAATGTAATCTAGCCAGGACAGAACGCCGTAAACTACAAGGGTGAAATGAGTGTTCAGCATTAAAATAATAAATAAAACAATCCTTGCAATTTGATACAGTGCTTTTCATATCAGAAAGATGTCTCAAAGCCTTTCATAGGATTCACTGCAATGTGTAGTAACTGTACTTTGTGGACAAACACGGCAGACAATATGTGCATAACAGCAGCCCACAAATAGCCATTAGGTGAGTGACCAATTTTAGAACCAGTACCAATGCATTGTTAATCACTAGTCTCCCTAACTATAATCTATTTTCTACAAAAGTTCCCTCGATGGCCTTGAGGGTAAAGGTACCACCCAAGACAGTACCAGGTCATACAGGTTAGATGGTTGCAGGTTTGATCTCCAGCTTGTGCTGAATTAACTGGTACACATAGAGAGCAAGAAAAAGATAGAGAGAACTGATATTTCAGTGTTCTGATGACATGAAGCAGCTCACTGCAGTTTCTGAACCTCAGCACAAGATTATTGCCCTGTAATAACTCCCAAGTCGACTTTATTCTCCTCAGCACTGCAAGTTTATCGAGTGATAATCCAGTTAAAGATTACCCCTGAACAACGGATAGTATCTATTATAGGATTGGGAACACGGTTTAAAACTAAATTCAACTGTGCAATTGGGGTGATAAAATAGTAATTTACTAGCAGTTCAAAGCCTTATTTAAAAAAAATCCTTTTACACAGAATCAACATAATGGCCAGACACAAATTTGATGCCAGGAACAATAACTTAAGGCCTGGATTGAATACTATTAACTTTAATGAAAGAGGAGTGTGGATAAGAAAACATTTTGTTTCTCCAATCACTTATCAAGGGTTTACTGCAGTTTTTGCAGATAATGTTTGGCTAGATGTATATGTAGAGGTCTATATAACCGCTACACCTTTCTAAGTGACTAAACGTTGTTTATTGATTTAGATGATCACGATCACCTTCTGCCTCCTTGTTTACAATGGTGCCACAGTGAAAAATAACTAGCATTATATGAAGCTCTCACTTCCAGACTTATCTCTGCGATACAACACACAGCACCATTATCGAGGAAGCCCTTATCACTCTGCTGGCAATGCTGGCTGCTGAATGATTCAGCTCAGTTCTGCTCTAGCTATTAAGAGTCAGCGTTCTGCCTACCACATGCCTTCAAACATTGCAAAGCTGTTAATATTGACAAGTGCATTAGATAATTTTTAGCTGCAAGATTAGCTGAGATAGCATCTTATCTGATCACTTTTTGGTTGGCCTACCTTTTATCGCTATATTGGGAATCATTAGAAAACTGCTCTTATTTTAATCTTATATTCCTGTTACTGATCTGGACTGTGAGTCATGCACCCAATACTGCAGCTACAATATGAATATGTGAAGGCACTAGATTGCTCTGCTTGCTTTTTTCAAACCCAAGTGCCCAGTCAGCTTGAACAATTTTACTCCCTGACCAGCTGAAACTCACTCACAAGGATGCTTGAATACGCCAGGCAGGATTACTGGAGGAAATCAAATTATGTACAGAGCGAGTCCAAGCATCACAATGCTATCAGAGAACGCACTTAGCACTAGAATTATTTACCAAGATTTGGTACAAAACTGGTATTTGGTATGCAATAAATATCTTCTTCCATCCACCTCTACACAAATGTCGTCTTCAACTTGCTTGAAAAAGAACAAGGGAAGTACTATATTAGCTAAGTTATTTTTTGGGAAGGAGGGAGGAGACAGAAACCCCAAGAGAAGAATATCAAGCTGTTCCATAAAGGAGAACAGTAAGGCGATCATAATGGCTTTTACATTGCTTTTATTTCCTTTAAAATACAGGAATGTAATCTTTAATAGCCATTTAATAGATTTATTCATTTTATGATGGTAAAGTGAAGAATGGAGGAAAACGTACTTTTTATGTTTTTGAAGAATAAAGTATTTTTCTTAATCTTCGTTCAAGATAGCTAGAGCTTTTTCCACCATTGAGACAGTCATCCTTTTTAATCAGTTAAGTCAATACATTAGTTCCATTCCAATTTCTCAAGTTTCCTACAACACAAGCAGCTACAGCACCTTTTCTCCATCTTCTATCCCCTCTATGGCAGTATTGGAAAAGGGAAGGGAATTTCTCCTAGTGTCCCAGTCCACAATCCCTCAGATAAAACAGGTTATTCATTTCCTGGCTTCTGTCATCTATTGCTTTTGTGAGACATTGCACAAATTGGCTGCTGAGTTCACCTATATTCATACACATTCATTACACTTTACAGTTCATGCTGCGAAGTACTTCCCAGTCTTTCGACGACATGAAAATGGAAGAATTATAATGATGGGCCTGGCTCACATTGATCTTCCCCTCTCTAAACTTCCCTCCTCTCACCAATTGCTATCTTTACCATTTATAAGTCATCAATAGTGGAGTCCTGTAGCTCAGTGGTTAGAGCACTCGCTTTGCAAGTGAGAGACCTGAGTTCAATTCCAGGCAGAGGGCAAAACCTCGGGCAAGTTTCCTTACTCCACACAGAGCCTAATAATAATCCCTCCAAAACCCAAAACAATAATAAATTGGTCATTTTCAATCTACGACTGTTTGTGGGACATTGCTGTGCGCAATTGGCTGCCGCGTTCGCCCACAAATATACAGTCAATTCACTTTACAGTGTGTTCTGTGAAGCGCTTTGGGATGTCCTCCTGACATGAAAAGCGCTATATCAAATGCAAGGTTTATTATTATTATTATTATTATCCTTACTTTTTCTTGTTTACAAGTTCCCGATACCCTTGAGCCCATTCTCTTTACTGTTTTTTTTAAAAAACAAAGACTTTATTTTAAACAGAAGGGATTTAATATTTTTTAACCAGACTATACACTTCTCGAGTGATGTTTACATCCAGATACTGTGTATAAGTAATCACGAACACTGCACATTTTTTCGTGAAACCCCACAAACACAGCATTCACTCATAGCTCACTCCTTCCTGAACCCTCACAAATACAGCATCCCCAGTGCTCCATGGCCACCAGCGAGTGCCAAGCTATAGGTTTTACTGTAAAGAACTTTGCTCTTGCATTATAAAACCTCAGCAGAGCTGATAAGAGCTTTGGCAGCACTGAGTTCTAGACTCAGAGATTTAAATGAAGTCATCCCAGCCCTGATCTTCCTCTGACTATATCTGAAGCAGTTTTCTTTCAGATTAGGTTATGCATTAAGAGGCCAAGCACCGTGTTGCCCATGGAGTAGGAGAAAGAAGGGTTATTTTTTATACAAAGTCAAATCCTACTTCTGCAACGAGAAAGAGGTTCCACTGAAGAGCTTTTTCAAAAAATTTCAGCTTGGATGTGGGGTCAAATTCTAGCCATGGGCAGTTTCATTCAAACGTTCTTTCTGTCCCAAATGATAAGAATCCTTGCATTTGATATAGTGCCTTATCACGTCTTCGAGGCGTCTCTGAGCGCTTCACAGAATATACTGGAAAGTGAATTGACTATATTTCGTGGAAAAACATGAAAGCATTTTGCCACAGCTGTGTCCCACAAACGGTTGTGGATTGGGTGATCAAATTATTATTGTCCGAGACTGTATTTTTAAAATAAAAATGATAATAATCCTTGCATTTGGTACAGCGCCTTTCATATCAGGAGGACATCCAAAAGCGTTTCACAGAATTTACTGTGAAGTGACTGTGTATTGTGGGCGAACGCAGCAGCTAATGTTCCACAAACAGCCTTGGAACGAATAACCAATTTTATTTGGGGAGATTGTTGGCCATACCAGAAACTCCCTTCTCTTTTCAAATAGTGCGATGGAATCTTTAACGTCCACCTGAACAGATAGGATCTTGGTTTAGTGTCTCATCCGAAGGATGGCACCTCCGACCATGCAATCCCCACCAGCACTGCATTGAATGGGCATCTTAATATGAGTTCAAGTTGCAAAGTGCGGCTTGAACAAACTTTCTGCTACCACTGAGCCAGGTTAACACACACACACACACACAACACCCAAAACCACACCACACACAAAATGAGCCCTTTTCAAAATTACAAATTGGTTAATAAGCAGAGTTTGCCAAGTGTGTCGGGGACTGGGACCAGCTCAATCAGGTGGAAACATTGAGTCAGTCAGTTTATTTAACATTAATAAATGATAAAATAAATTTCAGTAAGGTGCTAGGACATGTGCAAAAGATAACCAAGGTCTTTAAAATACTTTTCAAAATAAAGATTGGACAGGTTTTGTGCCTCTTGTAAAAATGAAGATATTTAAAGTCTATTAATTTGTTTGAACTGAAATAGCCTAATTTTCAACTGAAATAGCCTAATTTCCTCCTCAAATCTCCTCTGCAAAATAAAAGCCGCACCTTGCATTGCAGCCTTTTTAAATCGTAACTAGTTAATATAGAAACCAAACTCATTGCTTGTGCTTTCTATAGAAGAGCACACGTTACTTATTAAGGAAGAGCTTTGCATAAAACTCACTCATAACGTACATTCAGTTTTACATTGGCCCCTCAATCCACAATGGTTGTGGGACATTACTGTGCTCAATTAGCTGCTGCATCTTGCCCATAAAATATAGTGTCAGTCCACTTAAAGTATTCTGCAAAGTGCTTTGAGACATCTCAACTTTGTGATAAGGCACTGCATCAAATGCAGCATATAGGGGGATCGCACATTTTCTTCTTCCTCCTGCCCCCACCCCAACAAAGCGAGACCCTGCACACCCACTGGAAAGAGCATTTAAGATCTGAGGAGTGAAATATACCTGCATCATCTCTTCTGGAGTGTACATCATTGTGCGGATAATCATGACTCTGTCCAGGAGATCAAGTGGAATTCCATGAGGTGACACGATATCCTCTGTACCCCTGAAAAACACAAGGTTAATTTTAATGAACAACCCATAGCTTGGATGAAAGCTGCAAATAATTTGGCAGCGTGCCTGAAATTCCACACTGGGTTTCGAAGAAAGCTTTTTTTTTAAAAAAAGTAATAAAACAGCCATTTTAAATGGACCTTTTTTCCATTTAGATTATGAATTAAATTATAAATTGCATGTAAAAGCTGTCGAGTTCTAGTAATTCCATTTAGTTAATTGTATTACATTAAATTTACATATAGATTAAAATTTCAAGGAAGCTCAATCCATCTCAATGCCAACACTGGTGGAGTTCAAAGAAATCTTTGTTTTGCGGAGTAGGATTTTCCAAAGTTCTGCCACAAGATGGCAGTGGGCTAACACCATCCATCACAAAACTGCAGGAATTTCCAATCAATGTCATTCATTCCCTTGGTCAAAAAGCAAAACTAAACATTTAGTTAGTAAACTGAGAAACATGATAATTGCTGGCGGACAACATTCCCAGGGCCAACTGCCTTGCAAGCGTGCTCTGTGCTGCAGTGTTACAGGCGGGTTCTGTCTCTATGCTGCTGAAAACACTACGCTGTTTCAGTTGCAGTATGAATACCTCGAACAAGCTGTTCCACCTGGTGGGGTACTAAGCCATACAGACCAGTAGGGCCACAGGTTCAATCACTGATTGAGCAAAACTCAGTAAAGGCGCTGCATCCAACCTCGATATCCCCGTGGCTGAGATTCTCCCACAAAATATACAGTCAATTCACTTTACAGTCTATTCTGTGAAGCACAACAACAAATTATATTTGTATACCACCTTTCATGTCAGGAGGACATCGGTCTCAAAGGCGCCATAAGACTCTATAGAAAATGCAAGGATTATTATTATTATTTGGAGGTGGGGGAAGAAAATCAAAATGAATCAGTATTACTATGCTATAACTACTGTATAGAAAAACCAACAATTTCTCACTCTCGCCCTTCAGTAGTTATAGCAGATAGTAATACTGATTCCTTCAATCCTTGCTAGAAAGTACAGACGTAGATGTCAGGATTGGGTTTGGCTCTAATACTGTTAAATAATGTCAACACTTCTTCTGTCGACATACACGTGAGAAACATCCACCCATTGAGATAATAATTATAATAATCCTTGTATATGATAATAATGTCTTTCACGTCAAAAGGACTTCTCAAAGCACTTCACAGGACATGCTATAAAGTGGATCAACTATATTTTGTGGGAGAACGCAGCAGCCAATGTCCCACGAGTAGCCAAAAAGTGAATGACCAAGTTTATTTGTGGGATTTTTGGTCATGACATCAGGAACTCTGACTCAAGAGGCAAGAATGCTACCAACTGAACCAGGCTTACACACCAGAGGGTAAAATCCTGGGAAGCACTTTGGGACTTCTCGAGATGTGATAAGGTGTTGCTATAACAAATAATTATTATTATTATAGCACACAGTGACAGGAAATCTACACATAGGCTTTTCTGTTCGGTATGTGCTATATACCACAAGAATTAAGACTTCTGCAAGCCCAACCTGGTGAACGGTTTACAGTGAAAGGCAATTTTAATCTCAGTGATTTACGCTGCACATGAGTATCACAACAGGTAAGTGCGAAATTCACAAAAAGTTGACATGTACAGCTTCCAAAAGAGCTGGAGGTCAGTTCCTGAGACCATAATCTCTGTAATCACCCCCCCAAGCACACTGCAAATTGCTCCTCCCTTTATCTCAGATCAATGTTATCGCCAACACCCTCAGCCATGATTCTCACAGTATATGTTCAGCCGAAAACCTCATCCAACACATCAGGAGAGTTAAATACAGTTGACAATAAAAGTTAAAGTCGAGCACTCAGGGTTTTTGAGCTTACAAACAGTGGGTTTTACACAGAGACCCATCAGTTATGTTTAAGGAGGTCAGTGAGCAAGGCAATGTCATCAAGTTATTACTACCAATTTTATTATCTTCTGACACCAGCTCAGCACAGCTCCCCTACTGCACTTGCAGGTAAAGATTACAGTTTATAGAAAAGTCAATTTTCTGTTTACTTTGATAACAAGGATCATAATAGGAGTTTTTTTGGTGAATTTTGTCCTTATCAAAGTAAGGAACATCAGAGCAGAAGATTCTCCCACTTTTAGCGCTCAGTGTCAAAAGCAAACAGGGAGGGAATTTTTTTCCATTTCCCACATGTAATGTTGTTACTACTGCCAAATGATGGGTAACTTGTGACGTGGACCTGGATTTAATTGAGAATTAGGCCATTTCCAGCCATCAGAGAGAGATATCAATAGGTGAGCATGGGCTGCATTCACTCAAGCCAAGATCCCAAGATAAAGGGAAGTACTGCCACCCCCCACCACTCAACATCAACCCTTCTCGTGTCCTAGTTTTTAAATCTAATAGAATGCAAATATGCTGAACAAGGATTCAATGCTTAGCACACTCTAAAAGCAAAGCAACACTTGATTTTCAAGCACTCCGGGACGCTGCCCCGCATGAAAGGTGCTAAATGCAAGTTGTTGTTGTTGTTCGCTTTCATTGTTCTTGAAATTCAGCACTATTGCCTATTAACAAATTTGACTACACTGGATGCTATCCACTCATGTGGTGTTTTTTTTTCCAGTTTTGTCGCTATTAGGAAACGGTAAACAAAACTTGTGAATTACAAATGTTGAAAAAATTGATGGGCGAGAGTGAGAAATTGTTGGTTTGCTATACAGTAGTTTACAGCAGATTCAAAATATTAATCGGATGTCCCCTCTCCTCTGTTTAAAAAAAACTATTTTTGAAACCAAAAGCTCCACCCAAAGGCTTACCGAATAACACAGTTTCCTCGGTTTGTGGCAAAAATGACGATTGGTGCAATGGTGGATTCCAGGGCTCGGTGTAGGTAAGTGAAACACTCAATGTCAAGCATAGGAACTTCATCGATGAAAAGCACCCCTGGAACCAGTTCAGCAATGCCTTGATCAATGTACTTATTAACGACCTTGTTAATTTCGCCTCTCAGTTTATCTGTAATGGAAAGTTGGGTTTTATTAGGCATGGAAGACAAACATCAAGATTTCCCTTCCTGACGGCAGCTCAGCACAGCTCCCCTACTGCACTCGCAGGTAAAAATTAGGTTATAGAAAAGTCAATTTTCTGCCTACTTTGAAGACAAGGATTATAATGGGAGTTTTTTTCCGTGAATTTTGTCCTCATCAAATTAAGGAATATCAGTGTCAAAAGCAAACAGGGAGGGAATGTAAAATGGTGCTCAGACCACTGGATGATAGCATCACATCTCAGAGTCAAAAGGTTCAGGCCCCACATTGGGCCTCTGAGCTTCTATTCTAGGCTGACACTCCAATGTATTTCTGGGGAAATGCTGCATTGTTGGGAGAAGCTGTTCTTCAGATGAGATGCAAACCGAGGTGCCATCTGTCTGTTCCAGTTGGATTTTAAAAATCCCACGGCACCAATTACAGGAACTTTCACTAGGTTCAGTGACCAACAATCTTCCAGATAAAACGTCGGGTCATTCATTTCATGGCTATTTGTGGGACATTGTTGTGCCATGCTTGCTACAAATACAGTCACTACATGTTACAGAAGCTTTGTGAAGAGGTTTGAGATGTTTCAACATGATAATGTGCAATACCAAAAGAAAGGATATTGTTATATATACATTCAATTTAAATTGTCTTGGAAATGTTGCTGAGTGGGTAGGACGCGCCCCCGCCCCAAACGGTGATATGCTGCTGCCATTCTACATTCTAAGGGAAACCAGGCTCTTCCTCAGAGAGGAAAAGGAAAATAAATTAAAGGGAAAGTCATCATAGCACCTCATTTCAAAGGGACAGGGAAGCACACCTCTATAACACTTTGCTTTTACCCAACCTCTATAACACTTTGCTTAATCTACAGAGATTATCTTTTTTAAAAATCAATCAATATAACAAACCGTGCCTTTATTTGCATGTCCACTAAAAAAACTGATCCATAAAGATTCTACTAAATTACTCTCCTAGTTGAAAGGTATATTGTTAAAGAGCTAAAAATATTCTATTCATTTCTTAAAAATGCACCCTTCAGTACTACTTCAGCGTCAGATAAAACATAAAATTACAACAGAATTGATTTTATTCTTTAGAATAAGAAACACAACCAAGACTATTTTTGAGGATAAATGAAGGAGTTCCAAATTATAGTCAGTTTGGCCCCAAATATTGCAGATATTTACAGTAGATTCAAGTTGATTATATTCCCAACTTCCTGTGACTTAGAGCTGTTGTCCACTCACCTGTGATTTCAGTCTTCTTTGGTTTCATTAGCTGCCCCATCATGGATAGTATATCTTGCCCTCCCTGAATCAAAAAGCAACGATAAAATCAGTCAGTTTAGGCAAGGCAGCAAGCAATACCATCACTGCACCCAGGGCTGCAGTCGCCATCAGCCTTCCCATACTTTGCTACTTTGGGATTCACGTAATTTCGAGGGATTCTGGAGACACCAAAATTCGTCAGCATCTCAAATAATTTTTAAAAAATTAATGAATGGGTAAAAATTAAAGTATTAAAAAACATCTTGATTCATTTTTTCAAGTGGTCCGGGTGCAAGTTTGTTCATTGATATATTTTTAACATGTGCAAATTTATTTTCAAATACTAATTTTAAAATGTGAATATACAAATGTATAATTATAAACTCCAGTTTAAATTATGACTGAAGTAGGAAATAATAGTAATAATAATCCCTGCATTTGATATAGTGCCTTAAGACGTCGTCGAGAAGTCTAAAAGCACTTCCCAGAATATATTGTAAAGTGGATTGACTGTGTAATTTATGGTTGAAAAGCAGTAGCCAATTAGCAAGCAGGCAGCAACAAATTCAAACAAGGATTGCTGTACAAGCAGACTTAAACAACTGAAATGTTCCAAGTATAAAGTGGATGAGGTCTATTATCTGCTGCAAGCCGAGTTTAGAATGTGTCTAGATGACTTTTTCTTATATTTTTGTTGCTGTGGGATAGTTTGCAGGGTTTGGAAGTTAACCTGAGCAATGTGCTGCTGAATACCTGTGGCCTTGCGTTCGCTACATCGAGATCGTGCAATGTAACGTCCTGTATGATCTCTTTCTTCTTGTGCACATCGCCCTTTGGCAGGGGAACATACTCCTCGGCTTCAAGGTCAAATTCCGTGGCGTATGTATCACACCTGCCTTGCCTCTGTGAAGAAAAGTAAAAAGAAAATACAGGTGTGTCGTCAGCTTACCTGCCAAGCCGCTGACTGAAAGAAAGGGGACGAATGGACAAGGCCCCCGACATACAATTACGGCACTGACAGCCCTTTGTCGACACATCACAACTGTCTTCTCATTTTGGCAAGTGAGCCGGCCCAGCTGCCCACTGCTAGCCTGCCAAAGCCACTTAACTCTGCAGCAAGTCGGCCCCTTTCTTCTGCTCAGATAATACTACTACTAAATTTGCTATTCTTACTAAAGAACCTGATGCGAGAGATAACATTAACTACGGCTCACTGAACATGTTAAGGTCACTTTGTAGCTGGATCCTCCAGCACACGATAGCTTGTCCTGATAAAGTGCACAGCAGCTTTTTAATCAGTTGTGGCTCCCGTTTCCTGGGAGGTACGAAGCTTTCTGAATGACTGGACATGTAGTTCAAAAATTCCATGTTTTTAAACCTTTTGATCAATGCTGCGTTATTTTTAAATATTTCCAAATATGCAGACTGGAATCTGTCATTCTTCCACCCCTAATTCTCTGCTCCATGGGTCCCTCCAGCACACAACCTCTTCCAGAGATGCTATTATTGAAAACACAGCACTGAAGTTGTTTGCAATCGAGTCACATGCCATCAATCTAACCCTCACTATGGTTTTCAAAACATAAGTACTCTACCTTAACTGCCCCACTGTTTGCTTCAATGTAAATCACGTCTCCAACTTCAACACGTTCCTTCTGAAGACTCTCGTAGATACTTGGGTCAAGCTGAAACACACAACATATTGTTTCATTAGACTTATCTTATACAAAAATGTTCAATCTTATACATTTCCACGTTTTGCATACCTTCAGCTGTTTAGTGCCTTTTGCTGTCTTTAGACCTATGATAACGTGGCTGACTGTTTTCCCATAGCCACCCATAGGATTCTCTGTCTCACAAGGAGTTAGTTCCGTGACCTCGCCTTCGTAAACCTCTTTCGTCTCTTTTATGCGGAGTCCTGAGAAAAACATTTGAAGTTTAGTTACATTCAAGTTGGGTTAAAGAAAATATCAACGAGTCCTACTTCAAAACAAAGTCTACCATGTTTGCAGCATCTTTATTACACAAATTCCTTCACAATAATTTAAATAACTATAATAATAATACTTGCATTTGATATAGCGGTTTTTACATCTTCTCAATGTCTCAAAGCGCTTCACAGAATATGCTGTAAAGTGAATTGACCGTATATTTGTGGTCGGAACTCGGCAATATTATTCGACAGCATTAATACAAAACCCTGTCATTTCATCTGCCAATGTTTTGGCAGAGTATTTAACAAATCAATCCCAAATCAAGACAAGGTAGACAAACATAAAGAAACAACAAGATACAACCAAAATGTGCACTGTGGTCAGATGTTCATTTTAAGCTTGAGAAACTGCACCAGGCCCATTTTTCAAAGTGTTGATAGCATAACTCTCAACCAGCTGAACAATAAGTTTTGGTCAGCCAGATGTCTAACCTATACAAAAAAACATCATCATGCTTAAAGCAACCAAATTACACTTGAGAATTCCACATGTATGCTACCTTCATAAGGAAATTTGCCTGTGTCTGAAATGGAGTGCTCACTTTCTCCCTGGAGGGATACATCCTGCTTATTTAATTCCATAGAGTATTAGCGCAGGTTGATGGGAGCCAGGGCTTGGGGACCCCAGAGTTTGTCTTGGGCACACAGAAGTTTAATCAGCTAAAACCACATATCTTGCTAGTGAGAGCAATGTCTAAGTGAATCTGTATAATAAAGATGCAAGGTCTGAGCAGTAAAAATATTAAGGAATATGAGGAAAGATCGGGAAAGTGTGATTAATAATAAATGTTGTAATGACAAGCATGATGGAATAAATATTTTAATATAAATATTTAGAACAACTACATTTCACAATCCTTTAGAAAGCAAACAATTACTTTGTTCCTTGTGACAATGGGAGATTTGCTCAATGCTGGACTTAAGTCGAACCAGGTGGATTACAGGCTGAACATGACAGAGAGATGCTCCACCAAGACATCCCAATCTTTCATTAGGGCCGTTATTTGTTCGAAAAGTTTCCCCATCCTGACATTCAGAGAATGCGCCGGTCCATCAATGAGGCTGGCTGTATGAGCGATTTAGCTCCACGGCCTTTATCTCTCAACCCAACGGCAATGCTGACAACGGTTTCATCTCCCAGCTTGAATTACTGAAACCCCTGACAGGGCCCATCAACACTTCAAGGAAATATTGTGGGCTTTCCTCCTTTTATTTCTCCTCAAGTTTTTAATTTGACAGGTACACACAAAGGGCAGATGCAGCTAATAGTTACATTTGCCTCCGAATCAATGGGTCACCATTTTGCTTCATTCTTTTTGGATAATTAAGATATCAGCTCCCCAGGCAACACTGTGGCAGAACATAGTGGAAATCAACACCTGATGGGTATGACGTTCACGTAGAATCGCTTCTCTACTTGGATTAGAGTCTATCAAAGCCACCCATGTGTGTATTCCTGCAGCATTAGTGGAAGATGCCTCAGTGTAAGTGGCTCACCCTCTTTGCCAAGGGATACATAGCACTGAGCGATCCACGAATCGAGGCAGCAAAGGAAATCCTTCACTAGCGACACTGCCTTGCTTTATTTGTAGACAAGGTAATGTTGTTTAAAGCAGTTTTTGTACAAATCCATAAAAGTAAAAATATGGCTGCTTTGATGAGTGTTCAGAAAAGCTATTTGGGACGATCAAGTGAGGTAATACGCCAATGAAGTGAGGCTGATTTTTTTTTATTACAGATAGCTAGCTACTCACCAATGGCTCGTCTGAAGTTTTCCATCAACACTTCTGTTTTCTTGATTTCAGTGGAGTACACTTCACTCCCCACCATGGGACAGAAAGGGACTTTACTCCCCAGCTCCTGTGCAATGGCTAGAGCCAAAGCTGTCTGCAGCACACACAAAAAACAATCTCACTGATTCTTCTGTAATAATGCAAGCTAATCCTAGCCTTGGAATTCTACCAAAGCTGGGCTACATAGAAAACAGAATGAAAGAGAAAACAACAGAGAGAGAGAGAAAGAGAGAGAGAGAAAAAAGGGCAGGCATTTTTTTTTACTGCTAAGTCAATAGATGTTCCTGCTACAACCCTGGCAGCATGGATATTCTATTTTAAATAGTTGTTTGAAGTATTGACGTCTCAAAGTTTAATAACTGACTGTTTGCAATGCTATGCCAAAGCTCTAAAACAGTCCACATCACACAATATTGACAAAAACTCATAACTGACCTGATGTTCAAACCACTTGTGCCCTGCAGAATAGCAAGGCTCACCATGGTAGACTCACCCACTGATAAAGGGTACTCTCAATGTTCTAAAGGCAGCCCTACTAGTTGCGCCTGGTTGAGCACAGGTAGACTTTGAGGATTCACATCGGAAATGACGTCCGATGATCCCAAATTTGACCATTTTCCATGCTGCTTTATAGCGTAGCCTCTGAGACATTGCACTCAGATGACCACATAATAATGAGGGTTGCCCTGTAATTTGCACTGATTACTGTCAGTGTAAATAAGACTCGAGTTTCAGACAAACTCACTGCAGATAAGCGACAGAATGAGTCCAAACATCAGGAACTAAAATAACTTTGCAAACAGGATTCACTCGAAAAGAAGGAAATTCACACAGCAATCTAAATTGGAACTCTCAAAATTCAATAATGCTGAATCAATTAGCTTTTATTTATACAGCTCTCACCCACTTCATCCACCTGATTACTGTACCTTGCCAGTTCCTGGAGGTCCAGCCAATAAAATAGCTCTGCCAGCCATTTTCTTACTTCTAATCAGCTCCACTATAATTCCACATGCCTAGAAAAGACAAAATATGTTTACAAGGATTCTGAAGTCTCGTACAAGTGTGAAGCAGATTTGTTTGATTTATATAAAGGTTCGGATGCAAAACTGTAACTAAGTACATACGGTTGCACTGCAGTTTGCAATTCTATCTGATCTATAGTAACAATATTTATCTATTAAATTACAATTATAATAAACAGTTATATTTCATGCACATTTACACAACCCACTAAATGTTCTAAGCCTGTTACCAATAAATCCATGCTGTAAGGAAAGGGAGTGTGTAAGAAACCATCAATGGATGGTTGATGAAACTATCAGCCACCATTACAAGTATTATACCAAATTGGCCTCTCTTCCTAGTGATTTTTTTTTTGGGTGGAACTATTTTAAAAACCTTCCTCTGCCTTGCCTCCTCTTTGATCACTGGTGAGACTTAGAGGTGAAGAAATGTCCTGAAACCTACGAGCCCAAACCCTAATGGATAAAGACAATGGTAGCTGAACAAGTAACATAAAACTTACCAGATCTTTGGACTGGTTTTAGCTCCTTGGGATTTCTTCCCAATGTGAATCACTATATGAATGCAATTTGTGGTTGATGTTGTTGTAAACTACATGGTTACAATTCTGTTCCTTAAAAGAACCCAGGTAATAATAATAATAATCCTTGCATTTGATATGGCGCTTTTCACGTCGGGAGGACACCCCAAAGCGCTTCACAGAACACACTGTAAAGTGAATTGACTGTATATTTGCGGGCGAATGCGGCAGCCAATTGCGCAGAGCAATGTCCCACAAACAGTCGTAGATTGAAAATGACCAATTTATTATTGTTTTTGATTTTGGAGGGATTATTATTAGGCTCTGTGTGGAGTAAGAAAACTTGCCCAAGGTTTCGCCCTCTGCCTGGAATTGAACTCAGGTCTCTCGCATGGAAAGCGAGTGCTCTAACCACTGAGCTACAGGACTCCACAGGTAGGTAATCACTGGGAATAAAAAGGGATTTGGTTGATTTGCCCTATTAACCTATCTTTCCCCATCACTAGAAATTCTGCTCATCGCTCAAAAACTCTCCAGGCCTTACACCCCCACCATTTCCATCATACCCTACACTGGCTCCCTGTCCCCCATCAGATTGATTTCAACATCCTGACTTTCAGATGCCTTCACACCCTTGTGTCACATCCCCAGTAAAGAGAACTTCAACCTTGAACCGCCAATTGGGGGGCAATTTTGGGGGGAAGAAATCTGCATGTTTTTAAAAAAGTTTTGAATTGAATTCACATTTTTATATTTTGAATTGAATTCTTCCCCGATATCCTGGGGAAGGATTAGAGGATTCCTTGAGCTTGGTGTAAGCTGTCAAGAGTTGAACTGTAATATAGCGCTTTATCACATTGTTGAGTTGGCTTTTCACAAGAACAACTTAGATTTATATAGCGCCCTCCACGCCAGACGGCATCTCAGAGCGCTTCACAGTAACGAATCCCGGGGCCGAGCCAGGAGGAGGGGGAGGAAGGTGACCAAAGACGCGGTCGAAAAGAGAGGTCTTCGTATTTTGTGGGTGAAAATACACATAAAAATGTGGTCACTCAATCCACTACTGTTTGGGGTATCACTGCTGTGCACAATTGGCTGCTGCATTTTGCCCACAAAATATACAGTGTTTCCACTTTATAATATACTTTACAGTATATTGTGGAGTTTTGTTGATCCGTGGTTAGGGCACTCGCCTCGCAAGCGAGAGACCTGGGTTTGATTCCCGGAGAGGGCGAAACGTTGGGCAAGTTTCCTTACTCCACACTCCTCTGTTTACCGAGCAGTAAGTAGGAACCCGGTTGTTAGGTCGATTGGCGGATCGCTTTTCCGGGGGTAACAATTCCTTCAAAAAATATAATAATAATAATAATAAATTGGGTCACTTCAATCCGCGGCTGTTTGTGGGACGCCGCTGTGCGCAACCGTTTGCCGCGCTTCGCCCACAAAATACGCGGTCACGTCGCTTCACGGTATATTCTGCGAAGCGCTTTGAGACGTCTCGGGGACGTGATCAGGCGCGACATCAAATCCGAGGACCATCAGCATTATATTTATACATAATATTATAACATTTTACTGTATCCCAGGCTGTGTGTGTGTGTGTGTGTGTGTGTGTGCTGCGTGCCGTGGTTGGGGGAGGAAACGGCACAGAGGGCACATGTGCAGCCAGACCCGAAGAGAAGGGGTGCGGAGGGGGCTGGTGGCGGTGGTGATGGTGGTGGTGGTGGCGGGGGTTGGGGGGGAGGGGGGGGGGTGAGGGTACAGGCCCACTCCAGGCCGAGTTACCTCTCTGGCGTTCTCCTGCCCCACCAGGCCAGCCGCCGCCGCTTTGGCCACGCCGGTGTCGTCGAGGCCCAGACCCTTCACGTGGCTGTGGCTGGCTATCCGTTGCGTCTTGGTGGTGCTCTTCACCTCTTCGATCTTCATCTTGCTCTCGTCCTCGCTCGCCTCGAACCGACCGACCCAACCGAGCGACGCGCCACCAACGCGGTTTTCCTTCTAGCACTTTCCGGCGCGGGTTACCCGGGCGACCGTCGCCGTGCGTGCGCAGCTCTACCTAACCTGACGTCGCGGCGCGCCCCGGCCCGGCCCTCCGACGCCGATTGGCTTCGGCGGCCGTCCGTCGGCTCGTCGGGCCGCTCTATTGGTCGGCTCGGGCTGTCCATCACACGAGCAAGCTAGGTTGCGAGCGACATCCGGCACGGTCGCTCAGAGGCTTCGGTTTCAAGCCGTTTCTTCTCGGCCACCGCCGGGTTTCTGACTCGAGCGCAAAGCGTGAGCGTCGCGCCTCGGGTAACGCTTTGCGGGTCTTGTCACCGTGATGACACGGGGTGGGGGGCTCTCCAGGCCTCGGAAACAGTGCAGAGAAGACCAATGAGGACGGTAACAGCAACAGTGATAATGATAATGAGAATCCTCGCGTTTGATATGGCGCCTCATCATCATCATCATCATCATCATCATGATCCTTGCATTTGATACACGTCTCAAAGCACTTCACACCATGTACTGTAAAGTGAATTGACCGACCGTGTTTTGTCGGGCGAAGGCTGTACGCGCGTTTGCCACTTATCGTCCCCGTGTCTGGAATGGAATGCGGACTCTCCCCGGAGGGACGGGTCCTGTTTACCCATTTCTGGAGAATCCAACCCCAAAGCACATATCTTGCCTTTGAAAGCGCCGTCTGTCAAGCTTCCCGCTGCTTGTTCACCTACGGCCATTAGGGCTTTGGCTTGTGGGGGTTAAAAGGAACCCAAGTGGGAAGACTGCTTACTTTACCAACCCTAAGGAGGGTAATGGACAGATACATCTGATTTGAATACTCTGTAGAGTTAAAGTGGAGCAAAGGGGTGAGATTATTAGAGTTCCTTTAAAATATTCTATAAGACACCAGTACCCCATGCTTGGAAGTATTCAAATGAATATACTTTGAGTTCCACACATGTATTCGAAATGACCATTTGTCTGGAATGCAGCCACACTCTGAAGGGTTGCACACTGCTCACCTATCCCAGAAGATATTTTGGCACAGCCAAGGCTTGGAGTGACTGCTGGAATTTAACCAGCTAACACCACACTGCTTAGCAATCCTTGTCCATCCAGGATCACTCTAATACAGTGTATATTTCTGCAATACTTTATACAGCATTTAAGAATGTCAATATAAATTTTCCCAGGTATATTATCAAAATATGTTACTTAAACTAAGATTTTAAAATGATCTGTACAAGGATTAGCTTTTATTATTCAGTTTGGATGTATTTGTGTCAGATGTTTATCAGATGTGTAACCTAAAATAAAGGGTCAAATGCCACAACAACGCAAAAACGGAAATGATAAATTCAGAGTCGGAGGATTGTTTCAGATTATTTCATGCAAACTGTGTTAAGTGCTTCTGGGTTGTTTTAGACACTACTGATTTATGGTCCAGTTGTTTATAGCACTTGTACCTAAAGGGTTCCAAAACTCAAGCTCAGAATTACCCACTATTCTTATTTTGTTTTCTTTTCTTTTTAACCTTGCCAATGTCCTGCATTTTGGACTGAGGTTTCTCCAAAAAAAAAGTCTACTTGGGACAAAACGTTCTTGTGGCCTCATTAATCATTCAATGAAGTATTTGAAAACAAAATGAGGTCATTCCAATGATCTTCCGTCACCTCCCTTCTCTCCCTGGCTCGAGGCCAAGCTCTGTCACCGTTAAGCACTCCAAGATGCTACCTACTTGAGGGGCACCATACAAATCCATGTTGTTGTTTAACATAGAATTGCATGGGATGATACCTCATGGAAACAGGCCATTTGGCCCAACTAGTAAACACTGATGTTTACAATCCACATGAGACCCCACCACTCTCTACTCCCTTCTCTCTCTCACTGGGACGTCCTCCTGACGTGAAAGGCGCTTTATAAATGGAATCTTGTTGTTGTTGTTGTTGTAAACCTTGGGTAAGTTTCCTTACTCCACACAGAGCCTAATAATAATCCCTCCAAAACCCCCAAAACAATAATAAATTGATCATTTTCAATCTACGACTGTTTGCGGGACACCGCCGTGCGCAATTGGCTGCCGCGTCCGCCCACAAACATACAGTCAGTTCACTTTACAGTGTGTTCTGTGAAGCGCTTTGGGACGTCCTCCCGACGTGAAAAGCGCTGTATCAAAATGCGAGGAACCCGAAGGAACTGATCGCATTCCGTCGCTGGGAATGGAATGGGTTTGTGGAGGGAAGAGAGTGAAGCGGAACTCTTGACCTGCGCTTCTTTTTTTTCTCTCTCTCTCGCTCGCTCCCCATCGGGGGAACCTTGACGCGGTTGCGCCGGTCCCGTCGGGCTCAGCTTCCGCCTGGGCGACGGTTTCCTGGCAACCATGGCCGAGAAGACTCTGAATTTTAACGTGGGCGTCCTGGGCCACATTGACAGCGGCAAGACGGCGCTGGCCCGGGCTCTCAGCACCACCGCCTCCACCGCGGCCTTCGACAAGAACCCGCAGAGCCGGGAGCGAGGGATCACGCTGGACCTCGGCTTCTCGGCCTTCAGCCTGGCGCTGCCCGAGCGCCTGAGAGCGCCGAGCGGCTGCGAGAGACTCCAGTTCACGCTGGTGGACTGTCCAGGACACGCCTCGCTCATCAGGACCATCATAGGAGGTAAGAGAGAGAGAGAGAGGGGTGGGGGTAGGGGGGCGCTCGCTCCCTCCCTCCCTCCCTCCCCGCCTCCCGGCAGCTGTCGCAACCGGATGATATCTTCCTGATGAAGAACTAACCTCACAGTCCCTTGCGGTGGTTCGCCCACAGAAGGTGCAGTCACTACGCTTCGCAGTGTATTGCGTGAAGCGCCCCTTGAGACGTCGCGAAGGCGCGATAAGGCGCTGTATCCGATGCCGGGGTTAGCGTGAGATGCGGCGCCCTGTCAGGCCGGTGGGACGTCTCGAAGCGCTTCGCGGGGGATACGCCGTCAAGTGGATTGACTGCATACTTTGCGGGCGAAACGCGGCCGTCACTTGCGCGCAGCAGTGTCCCGCAAACGGTCACGGATTGAGAGACCACATTATTACTATCTTTGAATTATTATTACTATTATTATTATTATTATTACTACTGTGTGAGCTTGAAACACACACTTGTGAATATCACGAGAATGTTGAAGAGCACAAGATGTTACTAGGACAATAACTACGGGCCTGGAGATTATGCGCGCAGAGCCATTTAACAGGAGCAGTTTTGTTCCACCTTTTTAAAAAAAATAAATTGCTCAATTTCTGTGCTTTCGGCCCCGTGGGACTGTTCCGCTGCTCCAGGCCTTTGCTAATAATGCTTTTAAGATGGCCCGTGGAAGATGTCCAGTGTTTGAGTCGTGTATTTTTGGATTGAGATTAGGAGATTTGCCAGTTGAGAATCTGTGGAACGAACCTGCTTCCCCACAAATTGCGTAAAAGTGGATTCAAAGGTCAATTTTCTCTTTGCTTTTGACTTTCCTCCAAACATGTTCTCAAAACAAAACCGGGCACCGCCAACTTACTCCTGTGCTCTCGTGAATTACACGCTGTCATCCATTGTTTCGTGAAAAAGAACACAATTTCCATCTGTGTTTAAATCTGTACAAAATGTCACAGACTTGCTTTGGGAGACGGTTTTGGACGGTTCGGGTTTCAACTGAGTTCTGCGAAACATGCAATGCCGCACTTCAGGAGCTCACTAGATGGCAGTAGTCAATAGAGGAAAGGTAGCAGTTCATTTATGGAGAGCTAAAGTAAACAGTTACGTGGATGCTAGCATTATACTGTATTGTACTTGTGCTTTTTCTGAATAAAATAAAGTAGACCCCATTTCTAACATTGCCTTTGGGAACCAGAAACAGAAGGACTGCTTTTATACTGTATATGAGGTAGTTTAAATCAGTTCTTCTTCTGTTAAAGACCCTCAAATCTTGCCCTTTAGCAACCTGCGGCTCGTGCCAGCTGCAATGTGCTTATGAGGCTGAAATTCATCTTCGAGTACTCATTGTTTCCTTCTGTTCATGATCCGTGGCTTGAAGCGTGACCCGTCCTCGGGTCTTCATCAGTGTTGTTCTGAAATAGCTATTTGTAATGTCTGTAGTGTGTGTAAGAACTGGGGTCCCTCTCTGCCTCTGTGACATGTATTACAGCGGCTGGAGTGAATCTGAGTAATCCAATTCTTTACCTGTCTTTGTTGGGGAAAATCCTGCCCCTGTTCGTTGCTTGCCTATCAGGCCTCTTAACGTGAGTTCAAGCCTGTTGGGCTAGTCTGTTCACTATATTGATACTTTCATTCTATCGATATAAAGATATGCTACTTTTGAGAAGTGTTATTATTACTGGGCACTGGAAATTTATTACAGAAATGATTTGCAGAGAATGATTAATCTTTATGTACAGTATTTTTTAAATGTTTTGGAAATCTTTTTCTTTTCTATCAGACAGCCTTATTGCATTAAACCTAGAAAGGAGTTGCAGATCCTAATGAGATCAGGCTGTGCTGTTGTCCCAACACATTTCCTCTTGTTTCTTGTATTTTTAAAAAATTGTTTCTTATTCGTTCCATGTTTTTTATTTGCTTTTTTCCAAATCCTTTTTTTTAAACTGTCTTTAGTTGTAGGTTTTTGGTTTTGATGTGTTCAGGTATTTTAAAATGACAAGAGTTTTTAGGACTTAATCCTTTTTTTAACATTTATTTTACAGTTGAGAGCAACCTGCAGGGAATATGGACTAACACAGACCATTGAAGGATGTTCAGTATAGACTAAGCAAAATAGAGGTTGTGGGCTGATAAAATATTGGTCGCCAGTAATCTGTGGATGATATGATTGCCCAGTGATATTGAGCTTAGTTTTGATAAGCCCATCATTTTAAAGAAAAGACTGAGATGTGAGTTCTTAAAGGTTTGAAGTCTCAGGAAGCTCTCATTGGTGGGTGAGCTTTCAACCATTCTGTCCCTGCTCTCTGGAACTTCATCCAGCAGTTCCTCTGACTCACAACTGCCTCCTGACTTTTAAAGCTCACCTTAAAACTTACCTCGTCATCCGCCTTTTCGGTTACCTTTTTCCCCCCATGCCCCCAACCTCCTCACCATCTACAATTTTCCCCCTCCATCTCAGGCGCCCAGGTAACTGTGTAAAGTGCTTTGAGACATCCTCCCAACATGAAAGAGCGATCTACAGTACATGTAAATTGTATTGTATAAAATAATTAATTTGCACTGTAGAGAGTGTGATGAGTCTTGATTTTTAGTGCAGTGATAATTACTCAAAAGATGAGTTCTCAATCTTGCCAGTGTTGTTGTGTTGAGGCTATTTCTGTGGAAAGTGTGAGGGGGTGGGGGCGGAGGGCAGTGGAGGGAAACTTGGAGGCTGAGTTACTCAGGATGTTCTTGCATTAAACCGCAGGTCACAGAGTGGCTAACTTTTAATGTTGGCTTTATTTTACTGCCTTTTCTGCCTGGTCATGACATCATCTGAGGAAACTGGTTTAACAAAAGTTCCTGAGACTGACCGTGCAAGGGAACAGACCTAATATCGGAGAGGACAGTCAGAAGATGCCTCAGTAATCTTGTCATCTCAACTGAACATATTAATCTTCCTTTGTGTCTTGTGCTCAGTAGATCTGCCAAGTCCAAAATAACTTTTTCTTGGCAATTTTTTCCTTCCTCTCTTTAAAGGTATTTTAATTCCTTTTTTCGTTCCTCGGTCTCCCTCCATTATCTCTCTCAAGTGGCCATTTGCGTATGTGAGGCTTTGACAGTGAATGTCAGCAACTTATTCAGCCATAGGGAGTGTTGCAGCCAAACCTTGTCTTGTCCTCAACCAGTGACATTCATACACACGTACTTCGTGAAGGGTGTGGAAGCTTTCTAACAACAAAATTATTTTATATAGATGTTCACAACTGGCATCTTCAAAATTATCTAAAAAATTTGTGCTTTTCATATAAAGTCTACAAAACGATTTAATGTGCATTTTTTATTCAATGTTCTAAAGTTTAATGAAAGCTGTGATTTTAATCCCAAAACAGATGCTTCTTAGTTTATGATCTTCCATTGTACTTTAGAAGTTAACTTTTTTTGATATTTGTGGGGAAGTGCATTTCTCAAAAGTCCTGACTCTGTGGAAAGACGCTATTCATTTTAGCCTGTTCACCACAGTGATGCCAGATGATGATGTCAGTCGGCATACCTAAGAAGGAGAAGAAAAAGAATGCACTGTGTTATCAGTGACCCAAAAAAAGATTCATTGTGGTGCTGGGATCTCTTGCTGGACAGAAGACAATGCTCTCCGATTTGCACTTGCTGACTAATATTATCATCGGTTTCCCACAGTGTAATTTGTCTGAAACCAGACCTCTGTAGGCCATTTGGGGTCCGCTGAGATATCAATCTCCTACTTTGGAGGGGTACAAGTGATGATTCTAATGACAGTAATTGTTTCCTCTCTTCAAGTCTTTGAGTCACAACATCAGAGTCACTGCGGAAGTCATGCATTTACGCTAGAAAAAGGGAGTTTGATCACCTGAATTAGTGCTTGACATTGGAGCTTTTGTATGCCATACTGGCAAAACCTTCTGATCTCTGTCCAGTTGAGATGTCAACGTTTGCTATAACTGCGTGGATTGCACTGCCTTCTGACTACGCAATAGCTTTGCTCTACCAAATAACCAGAAATAGTCATTAGAATTAATACACATCAATTAGAACTAACATTTAACCCTTTCGCCCACTTCTTCCCACTTAAATTAGCCAAAAGACTTTTGTTCAAGCAGAGAAGGAACCATGGAATTGTATTCAACAATAAAGGAAGGAAGTGAGTTACAGAAACACTATATATTTTGCTAATGAATGGCCTCTTGTTTTTCCACAAGAGACATTTTTTTTCCCCTAAATGTTTTTATGTTGAACACTGATAATGCATGAAAGGTTAATGAATTGCTTGGAGTGAACTTCTGACTCAGATTTAGGGTTGGTTAAAAATCTTATTAGATTCACTTGGTTGATTTTTGAGAGCCGACTGATACACACAGATTATGAATCTGCTGATCAATATGAATCCACATGTGAGGCTAACATGCTATTGAGGTCACCGCAATTCTACCAGAGGAAGCTTATTCTCACTCCAAGTTTGCTTGTCAGCCTTAGGAATTTGTCTCCTGAAGATCAGTGTGTAGTTCTACAGTACCTAGGTTTCCTTAGTCCTGCAGCACTATTTCTGTACACAATTTCACCAATTAAGTTCTGTTAAGTTTGTAAAATCTTGTTTCCTGTTACCTCCCTCATATAAATTTGTGAATAGCTTGTGCAAATCTTTTGAGTTCCGAATTTCCTTGACTGCTAGCACAATACAGTAGACTCTCTGTCTCACTTCATAGCTCTATCTTTGGGAGCCATACAGAAAATGTGTTACATAGAGGCTGTTTTCTGTGGTTTCTTCATTTGTGAGAGAGCTGTAAACAATGCATGTTATGTCAGATTTGTTTCATCGGTTTTTCATTCTTCCATTCAGCATTAAAAATTAATTAGAGGAAACTACAGAATGTTGGAACATATCTTCATTCATGATTTTCTGAATAAAATAAAACACAGTATTAAAAGTTCTTGATTAGGGGATGGGGGGAGAGAAGGGGGCTGAGAAATGTCACCAA